CTGAACATGAGCCAGCAGTGTGCCCAGGTGGCCAAGAAGGCCAATGGCATCCTGGCCTGCATCAAGAACAGTGTGGCCAGCAGGAGCAGGGAAGTGATCCTTCCCCTGTACTCTGCGTTGGTGAGGCCACACCTTGAGTATTGTGTTCAGCTCTGGGCCCCTCAGTTCAGGAAGGACATTGAGGTGCTGAAGCGGGTCCAGAGAAGAGCAACGAGGCTGGTGAAGGGACTTGAGCACAAGTCCTATGAGGAGAGGCTGAGGGAGCTTGGGTTGTTTAGTCTGGAGAAGAGAAGGCTCAGGGGTGACCTCATCACTCTCTTCAACTACCTGAAGGGAGGTTATAGCCAGGTGGGGGTTGGGCTCTTCTCTCAGGCAACCAACAATAGGACAAGGGGACATGGGCTCAAGCTCTGCCAGGGGAGGTTTAGGTTAGATGTTAGGAAGAAATTCTTTACAGAGAGGGTAATCAAGCATTGGAACAGCCTACCCAGAGAGGTGGTGGATTCACCATCCCTGGAGGGTTTTAAGCAGAGATTGGATGTGGTCCTTAGTGCCATAATATAGTAATTGGAGTTGGATCAGGGGTTGGACTTGATGATCTTGGAGGTCTTTTCCAACCCAATCTATTCTATGATTCTATGGTGAATTCACCACCTTCCTAGGAGGCCTGTTCCGATGCCTGACCACCCTTTTGGGTAGAATTTTTTCCTAATATCAAGACTAAAATTCCTCTTGTGCAACTTGAGACCATTTCCTCTCATTGTGTTGCTTGTTGTTCTGGGAGAAGAGGTCATCCTCCACCTGGCTACAACCTCCTTTCAGGTAGTTGTAGAGAGTGATATGGTTCCCCCTGAGCCTCCTTTTCTCAAGGCTAAACACTTGCAGCTCCCTCAACTGCTCCTCATAGGACTTGTGCTCCAGACCCTTCACCAGCTCCGCTGCCCTTCTCTGGACATGCTCCAGCACCAGGTACGGATTTTGATAATAGTAGACTCTACCAGGCCTGGAGACACAAGTGTTTAGTGTTGCTCAAATTATCTTGGCAAAAATCAGTCCATGTACCTATAGGTCAAACTAATCCTTTATATGAGACCTTTAAAATAGCAAATTCTAAAATCTTTCATTGGACTGCCTTTAAAGTGTTAAGACTTCTTATTGTTATTTGGAATCAGTATCCGTTAAGATCAACAGTGGTTATTTCTGTTGATCACAAAGACTTAATACAATCGTCAAAGAGAAGAGTGACTGACAATTATTTAAAATTTCACAGGTTTTTATTGGTGAGATGAACACTGCCCTTGGCAAAACATTGCTCTTGAAACTATAAAGATTTGATGAACACTATTTTTCTGTTTCCCTAACCTGCCTGCCACCTGCAAAAAGGTTACAGTACATGTAAAGTAGGTTTTTGCTGCTACCTTTTATCCTCTATATTAATTCTGAAACATGCCTGTGGAGAGTTAAGCTTTATTTAATAGAAACTATCTTTTTATGCTTGCTTGCAAATATTGCAAATATCCTTGCTTGCTGTTTGTGGAAGGCTTCTTAGAATTCTTACAGAATTCTCACAGAATTCTTTAGACTCTTCCCAGATTGCAGTGCTCTGGACTCAAACACTCCTATAGTGGAGCTGCTGGATATGAAGATGAGTAGTAAACTGAAAAAATTGTGGCATATAATTTCCTGGCTGTTTTTTTAATTTTGAATAGATGCTGAACCAAGGACATGGTTGTGATTTGAAATATAGTAGTGAATCTTTTGGGCTTTTTTCTTTATAAAGGGTTGTTGAAAAGTCATTCAGAGCTCCAGAACTAGAGCTCGTTCTAGACTGGTAGGGCCTGATCAAAAGTCTATTGTAAATAATGGGAATATCGCCTCGGTTACATTTCATTCAGCTCATAAATAATCCTCTCTTCAGTTCTGCATAATGGGTGTGTTAGTAATTTGTAAAGAGTCTCTGAAGTTTTTACCAGTATCCTGTACCATACTTTTAGGAACCTGCAAGTCATCTGATACACCTTATAAGAACACACACTGTTAAAATGCAGTCTTTTTGTGACTCTTTCCTCATCTTGAATCAGAAACTTGTATTGTGGCTTCAGTGTTTCCTGAAGTTTCAATATTTCCAGTGTTTGAGCTTTGGGGGTTTTTCTGTGAAAGATGGTGTAGAAGGGAATTTGGCAATATTTAAGTCGCATTATAATAAGGTGAATGAGCTGTTGTTAAATAAAATGGTTAATTAATATCTTCTTTTCTTCCTTATTTAGCAGCTGAAGGTTCTGAAACACAAGACAAGAAAGTCACTTCAGGACAAAGCAACACTGGAACTAAGCCAGGTATGCCATTCCACATGCTCCATGTTATAAGGCTGTTTGCCTCAATGGTGTATGGAAAACAGCTGGCTTAGGAACTTAAAAAGTTTTTTGCTTTTGTACCTCTCTTACTGTTTCAGTCAAAATGGTGTCAGTGAATGTTTGTATTTAGTTAGGCTGGAATCTGTGATTGTTTGCAAAGACGCAAAACTAAAAGAATCTACTTTTATTTTAGTACAGCTTAGGAATGAGGGTTGGGAAGTGAGATAAGACAACAGAAGCCACTGTACTTGTATCTGTGCTTGAATGAGAATTATCTGCTGTAGGCAAAGATTTACGGCCTTTATATAAATGTGCTTCTGTTGAGGCTTTTCTTCACTTACCACAAAACATGCCATGTTCTGTAATGTACTCTGTGCAGTGGGCAGATATTTCTCATTGCTTCACCATACCTGATTGTGTGGATTTAATTCACTGTTCACTTACACAGTTAAAAGTGTAGGTACTAAAATGCCTAATGCAGTCCTTGGTGCCCTGGGTCTGTTCCAGTTGCGTGCTTAGACTAAGATCCAGGAGAGCCCTTAGATATTTAAATTCTGCTTGTAGTGCAGTTTGGGTACCCAAGCTTAAAATATGGAGTTAATAATGATTTTGTTTAGGTATCTTGGAAAGCATAGGTGCTTGTGTTGCTGAGAACTAGGCACACTGTAAAGCATTCACTTTTCAACTCTTTGACAGTTTGGCAGCTCAGTGACTGTTTTGTGCTGACAGACTTTTCTCTATCCCCAAACGGGGTACCTTTGGTCTACCTCTCCAGAGGGAAGGAATCCCAGTGCTGTCTGTGTTCAGATCACACCTTGCATGCTCTGCCAGGCAGCGCTGGGTCCTGCACAAAGCACAGTATTCATGGCTGCTCTCAATCAAAAAGGCAATGGGAGAAAGAGGAGAAAATAAAGATAACATTACCTGCTTCCACAGCAAAAACAGAGCTCTTGATGTTGGACAGTGTTCAATACCCACTTTATCCTTTGGTAGTTTAATCCAGTTTTCATTTCTCAGGGGGGTGTCCTGGCTGTTCCTATGTTCCTTGATCTATGCTGGTGTGTAGAAAGGAATGCAAAATTCTTGGGGCAGGAGAGAGGAAAGGCACAGACATATGTCTAGGCTTTAACTCTACACCCAGTCTGGTGGGAATCCATGTTGAAGAGAGAGCTTCTGAGAGATGGTGATTTGGTTTTTTGTTTGTTCAAGGTCTGTTGTTGTTTTTTCTTTATACTGCATATGAATTTTGTGTCGAATTGTTTTAGTTAAAAAAACAAACCGGTTTGCAGCGGATCAGTGACAGCTGTCACTATGTCACTATGAACTATGCCTGGAAGGTGTCTGTAGAATGAAAAAATATTGGAAGTCCAAAGCAACTTTGAATGTGTGCATGGCAGTGCAAAGGGAGCTAGACAAAGGGAAGAAGGTTTGAGATCCAAGCAATGTGTCTTTTCAAGTAGTGCCATGGCTTATATTTCTTTCTCCCCTGGGTTAGTTCATAGGTGTGAACTGACATACAAACTGACTGTTGCTTTCCACTTGATGTCCCTTTTAGTTTCTTTAGTGTAAGAAATTAGCACCCTAGGAGTCAAGGGCAAATAGGAGAGAGGTGTGATCTGAACACAGCACTGGGATTCCATTCCTCTAGGGAGGTAGACCATTCATGAGAAGAGATTGAGAGGATTATAGATAGAAATGACGAATAGTGGTTGTGTGACTTCTGAAACCACACTGAGTGCAGCTGATAGTTTGGGCCACAGAAACTGACCTTATGTTCTAAGTGAATATGGTAATTGTTAATTTAGCAACTTAATTTCTACAAATGTCAACTATGTTTAAGAGTTTGTTGAGAATTATATAGAAGATTGCAAACTTGCTTTTCCCTTTTGGTAATATAATTAAGGACCAAAACCCACTGACGTTTCAGTGCTGAATTTCTGCAAAATACTCTTTGTAGCTTGTAAGCTTTTCAAAATTAAACTGTTAACTTATGAAAGTGAATTTTGAACTTGTACTCAAATGTTATAAGTTTATGGAAAAATACTCTTTTCAGACGTAATTTAGAAGCTTGATTTCCAGCAACAGGTAGAAAATTATTTTCCCCTTAATAAAGCTATGGCTTATCTATTTTCCAAACATTCCTCTCATACAGATGCTTAATTCTCTACGTGTTTTGTAAATGTAGTGAAATAGGTTACTTAGCATGAGTTCCCACATGTTGTATCATAACTAAACTGCAGCTTCTATATCAGCATGTGGATCTTCCTGGAGTGTTGTCTGTAAGGCTTTGCATATGCCCAGTTATCAATTATTTCTGTAAAAAATGAGGAATTCTTGTAAGATTTGTTGCAACTGACACGTTTCCCATCTTCTTGTGCAGTAACATAAATATTGCCTGATGATGAATATGAGCAAGAGAGAGTACAAAGTACCTTGTGTGTTTGTTCTGGTATTCTTACTGAATAAGAAAAATACCAGTCTGACAGGTATTTGTATGATGGGTTGTTAGTGAGTAGAGACATGAGAAATAAAATGGGGAGCAGGCCCAGTGAACCCAGTGAACCTTCTTGTTTTGCCACAATTTGAAACTATTGATTCTATGCACTGAGGGTGCCAGCAGATCACTTGGACTCAGAATACAATTGTTGGAGGTTGGACTTGTAGCCAAACTAAAAAGGATAATTGTCAAGGCTCAGAAAAGACATTTTAATTAGCAGTGTAAGGTTTGCAGGGATAATATATGCTCCAGCCTCTAGCAGAGCCACTGCAATGATGGTCTGCTACAAAGGTGTTATCCCCATCTTTGTACTAATATTGATTTAGCTCTTTATGATCCCAAATGTATGCAAAATAGCTTGTTACTGAAGACCTACTTATACTGTGCATAGCTGCAACTTTATGTGAATTCTCTAGGATTGTTCTAAAATCCTGGGGTGTTGGGAGAGGGGCTGTTCATGCATGAACACTATCAGGTGTGTGATACAGAAAAAATAATTGGATATCTTCGAAGAAAGTGGCAGAGGGCAACTTTAAAAATTTATTTTATTCCTTCCATTGCTTATAATTAGGAATTCTTAAGGGAGATCTTTTCAGTTTGCCTGTCCATGTGACCCTCCTGCCTCTTTGAAGAATTGTTTCTTCTCCCCGATAGGGAAATCTCTCTTCTCAAGAAAGGGGGAGGGGGGAAACCCAACTGAAAGGAGCAGGTTTTTACATTATTCCCCAGTGTCTCATCATTTTCTGTCAACTCAATGTTACATTGACTTTGCTGACAGCCCTTGAAGGGAATCCTAGTTTTCCAAGGGAATTCATATTGAATGTGCATTATTCCACAAGCACTAATTACTCATGCTACAGAAATTCACGTTTTGTGAATCTTGTGTGCCAGTCACGAGAGAGAAGGAATACTATTACCCTTTTGACCTGTGTCTGCATGCTAGACTGCATGCGAGTCAGCACACTTCTTAACATCAGCCAAATGTTAATCCGTACCATGCAATGGACAAATCTATGTGATGGCATGGCTAGGCGTGGCATACGCCATAAATGGCAACACTGTTGTGCTATTCAACCAGCATTACAGTTTTGATCTGTAACTGGGTGATGGATTACCTTTGTCTTTGCTGGGGACTTGTTCCTGTTTTGCACCTTTCATTGTGGCTGTCGTGTTTGAAGGTTCTTCCTGCCAACTATGCAGTGGGTTTTCTCCTTGCAGCTGTTACTTTGCATTGCTGTTAACATCCTTAATTGGGGCTCTAGTCTGATGTTGCTGGGATGATGGTTTTTCACTGAGAGTTAAAGAGCAAGCTGAAGTTGTCAATGAACTGGTTCATCCAAGAAATTGTCATCCTTACGCAGAAACTTCTGTTGGAGTATGGAATACTCATTATTGGGTTTTTTGTCTAATTCAAATAACTATTCAAAATTTAGTCTAGCACATCCTCACTTCGAAGGTGTATTTTTGCAAATATCTTTAACCCCTGTTTTATGAGCCATTATATTGTTTTGCTAGTAACTTTCTTCACAAGTATGCAACCTATATACATATATGCTGACTGTATGTTTTTACAAGTTACTTGTGTACTCACACTGAATAGTGAAAAGGCTCTATTTCTTGTGCACTTTTATGGTGACAGTATTCTAGGTTGTTCTTTATCTTAAAATACTTAAAAACTGCATTCCCTTCAATACTAAAATAAATGAGACCATTTATTTATACTCAGAAATCTTTTTAATTTTTCTGTGGGATTTTTCGTTTACTTGTGTTCTTATTCAAAGCATACTTTTTCAGTACTAGTGAAAAAAGCATAAAATTAAGAGCTTTCCAAGTTTAACAGCACAGGCTAAGGATGAGTAGGAAATTGGTTTTGACAGCATGCTGAGATGAATTGGTTACTTGGACTTTGTTCCCTTTGTTTGGAACCGCTCCATTGCTGAGAGTGGAAGTAGGATGCTAGCTGTTCAGAACTTTATTGTCTTCCAGAGACATCACTGAGCAAGTGATGTTTTTCCAACAAAGCCTGAATTCTTAAAGTCAAGCCTAGGCTCTGACACAGATTTTTTCATATTATCCTTAGTCTTACTGCTGTGATCCAAGTGACTAGTTGTAGGTATTCTTAAAGATACGTAGCTTGCTTTCAATCTACAAGGATAGTTGAGGAAGCTATCACCTTACTTTTCTGGTATTATACCAGTCCGTGCATGTGGTGCACTCACTACTTTTAATGCATTTGTTGGAGGTTTTTAACACACGTGCACACAAACATCTGTTGAGATCAGTGTCATGTTGTCTTCAGAGACTCAGCCACAGCTGCTTCAGAACTACTTAGCCGGATCAGTGCTTTGATCCAAACTGTTTTGCTTGGGTGCTGAGCTTCTTCAGCATTGTGAAATAGGGCTTATTGGTTGTTCTGATGCAACATTGGTGGGAAGATGACAGACGCTTTATTATAATAGAATTTCCTGTGGATGCATTTATGGAGAGAGGTTATGGAATAATAGTATTTTGGTATTTTGTCACAAAGCAGTCAAGTTGTTTTGGGCTTGGAAATAAAACTTCTTCCTGGGTTTTCACAGACCATAGTCTTGCTGGGTATTCACATGTAAACCTTGGTCTATTCTTTGGGAGTGTTTTGCATCCTAAATGTGAATGCATTCTGATTATCAATTGTTCTGGGTTTTTTTCATAAGATGCATTTCTGAAAATGTGATCTATTTTGACATTAGAATAATTAGAGTTGTTTAACAGCCATTTTTCTGAAAGTTTGTTTGTGGTAATACTTGATTTTATGCTATGTGCCTAATGTTTTCCCCCTCCCTCTCTTTGTAGATCATCCAACAGTACTAAAGGTTGATGACAGGCAACGGCTTGCCAGAGAACGGAGAGAAGAACGAGAAAAACAGCTAGGTAAGGCCTGCTCTGGGTTTTTTTACGGTTTGAGGTTTTTTAATGGAGTATCATCTGCCTGCAGTATTTTTGCAAGTTTACTTTCAGAAGCATTCAGTAAAATAATTGTGCTAGATACACAGTAGTGTCATTCTTAATACATTATCCTATCTTTAAAGTAGATCTTTTAATTCATGCACATCTTGAGATTTGTCACCTGTTTTATGACTGCGAATGAAAAATGGGTTGATTTCTGAAATCATGCAAGGAAACTTCCCTGATATAAATGGAATTTTGCAGTTTCAGAATATTTTAACAATTAAGATTAGACTGCTTAATATGTTGAATACATCCTTTATTGCCATAAAATAGAATTGCAGAACATGTGTGATTTGAATTTTTTTTTATATAAAATGGGGATATTTTTTGGGGTAACACCTTTAATAGGTGTCAAATAGATGTGCTCAATACCTTATGTCACCTGTGTATGAGCATATATAACAGCTCACATGAACAGTGAAGGTTACTTAATACTGATGAGCATTATATTGAGTACAGTGGTAAGAAAACTAAGAATTATGTGAAGCCAAATTGATGGCTTTCTGAACATGTTTGGCTGCCACAAAGTTCTGTGGCAGTTGAGAGGTTGGGAAGCACAAGTATTTCCTTTTATTTACATATTCACCCTGATTTCTTTGGGTGTTGAATTCTTATGACTTAAGAAACTGGAGTTCCTTATTTCCAATTTCTAGCTTCTGTAAGTTTATAGAACTGTATTATAACTCCAGCCAGAGTTGTGCTGCTTTTTCTAACTTGAGGAGCCATGATTTATTATCACCTAGATCTTGATAGTGTTTTTAGCCTTCCTTTTTTTACAGCACCTTACAACATTGCAGTAGCCCTGCATGAATCATTAGGGTTGTTTTGGAGTGGAAAAAGAAAGCTTTGGGTTTGGCTTGCTCAAAGGGTAACATGACAGGATGTTTGCTAATCCCTGAAAAGCTTCTCCTGTTGTTGATGGTGTGTGTAGGCTTAGTTTCTTAAGGTTCCAGAGCAAATGGATGTTACTGGTCCATTTTAATTAATTTTTCATATATGACAGTTCCCTGTCTTGAATTAATTCTTTTCTCATGTTTGATCCTTGTGTAATAACAATGCTTTACTCAAGTGCAGAGAGAGATACTTTCCTTAAATTTTCCCAGACTTTGATTTTTTAACTATTAATAAATGAGTGTCTGTTACTGGAAGGATATGACTTCTGTTGAGAAATGTGTTATTTTGTGTGACATGTTTTAAAAGCATCATCAGGGAGGTTTATGAGTTGGCATGGAATCCTTCATTTCCAAGTGAGTTCTGCGTGTCCCTATTATGTATGAGTGTATTGTGTGTTCTTGCATGAAGAATTATTTTGAACTAACAAGAAAATTGAAAATAGCATTGTACTTTCATCCGTATATTTGTCTGCTAACAGTATGATTTAGGAACTGTCTCTTGAGATTTGTGTTCCAGTACAACAAAGCAATAATTTTTACTATGGCATGCCACATTTTCTTTTTCAGTGCAGAACCTAGATAATCAGTCACTCACATCGTGTGAACCATAGCACAGAAATTCCTAAGCTGTCTCTCTTAAACATTAAGTTGGATAATGTTGTTACATAAATGTGTCTTGCTAAAAATTGGACTTGGATTTTGTTAATATTGGGACATCAGTCATGCAACAGTAAAGCAGCTGAAGGAAGGATTTTTTTTTTTCAATAGAAATAAGTTGGATTTAAACTTAATTCCTTTCCTTTTGATTCAGGGGACCTGTCAAGTTTAGCAAAGACTTCTTTTTAAGCAGAAGTTGAGAATTTCAGTCATACCTCAAATAAAATTATTCTCTGCTTCTCAAAAAAAAAAAAAAGAAAAAGAAAAAAAAAGACAAGACAGTGTTCAGTTCTGTAAGCGTAGAGCTGGTAGTAGTTTTGTTTTGTATTTTCAGCTAGTTGAACTGCAGGAGGTCATGTTACCCATCTTTTCAGAAAAATTAAGTTGTTTTACCCTTCTGTTAAGAATATGTGGAGTACCACATGTGGAGTTTAATAAGGATTATGGTTATTTATTGGACAATATTCTGATGTTACAGGAGCGTTGATTTGAGAGCTTTTTTCCTCTCCCTTTTGTTTACTTTCAAGGCTTAATTTTTTTCAAGTTCCACTATGCTGTGATGGATTTGACTTTCCTTGTGGTATAATGGGTCGATGGGTGCTTGCACTCTTGAGGGTTTGCTTGCACCTGGCAATGGTATTTTAGCATCTTATTCTACTTAGCACATTTGGGTATCTAACTCTTGTTTTTAATGAGATTTTAGAGAGTAGGAAAGATACTGTTATCTTTGTTGTCTGGATAGGTATAGCATGTGTGTGGTAGAACTGTCAGCTTCTTGGGGATAATGTTATGCCACCTAATTGAAAAGAATAAAAAAAATCTACAAAAATTCCCCTTTCAACTTAGTATGTTCATATTGGGTTTTGGACCTTTCTTTAAATAACATAGAAGGTACGCAGGGACACATATGTTATTTTGGCAGATCGCGCCATCCAGAAGGAATTATTTTTTTTAGGTCCTTTGCTATAGTAAAGGCATTGCTTTTGAAATGCCATCTGAATACTTCTAATATATGAATTCTTCAACACTTTTTCTTATAGTTCATTTTCCATGATTAAAGTTGTACCAATTTGGTGTGGTTTTTTGCTTCGTTTTTTTTATTCTTCTGACTGTTTGGTAATGTGTGTATTGCTGATATGCACATTCAGACCTTTAAAGGATTATTAGGGTGTTCTTTATTTTATTCTATAAAAAATGGTTCAAGTGTTGTCACTTGCTCTTTAGTGATCAAGTTTTCCTTTGTGTGCTCTTTATGCTAGCACTCTTTCCACAGTGCCTATGCATAAAATTATCATCTGTCCTTTAAAATACAAATATCAGTTCTCTTTTTGTGAGACCAGCCCGCTTGGGTTTTGCAGGAAGGAAATCCCAAGAGAGACAGTGGTAGGTGAGGGTGATAGCTGTCAAATGGAACTGTTCTCAGAGGCCAGAGTGAAGGGAGGTGTCACATTTCTGGCTCCAGCTTGGCACTACAGTTCCTTTGCATGTGTCAGGCTGACTGGCTGTGTTCTGACAGTGGGGGCTGTGAGATGTACACATCTTGGAACTGGGTTGTTTGTGAAGGCAAACATGGTCACTGGCCTGGTCAAACTGGAAAATTTTAAGAAAAGCCACTGCTTTTTCACCCTCAACTGCCATATTGATTGCATCAGTACTGCCAAATTAAACAGTGCTGAAGAGCATTCTGTGGTGCTAAAACTTAATTGTTCTTGCTGTTAAAATGTTATGATGGATCCTGGCAGGGTTTTGGCTCGATCCAACTAGCTGTCTGCTTGCTGATTCCCTGGCAAAGTTTGGGAATTGGCAGGGGAGGCCCATGGGCTTTTCCTCACCTGTTGATTAAGTGCTGTTGACATTTTGGAGGATTGAAGTTTAGCAGTACAGGGCAAAGTTATTCCATTCCAGTTGGTTTCTGGTTCCATTTGTTAGTATAAACTTGGTTCTCCATAACTGTAAAGAAAAATCAAAATGTGTTTTTCAACAGGAAAAGTAACTGGGATTTTAAAATGAGTTTCATTCTGGTAGCCTTAGGTAGTGGCCTAGCAAAGAGGAGGTGTTGGAGTTTCCTTGTTATTACTTAGCACTATCTCAGTCCTGATTCTCGAGAAAACCATTTTAAGTCTCACATTTGTTCATGCTTTATCTACAATAATCCTGCTTGAAAACTAACTTTTTTTTTTATCACAGTTGTGATTCTGACAAGGACACATGGCTCATTTATTTTCTGGCATTGGGAACAAAAGATGGTAATCCTGCCTTCTCACTTAATACAGTCCTTAAATGAAGAGTTATTAATCTTAGTTTTTAGAATACATCTCAATTTCAAGTTGGCGAAATCCACTAAATTCTTAGTACTTAAAATGCATAACCATTAAAATAATATTTTAAAGATCCCATTATCATAGAGATTACTCTCCCATTTGAAAGTGAACATTGGCAAAATATCACATTAATAAAAATTACAGGTTTTTTTCTGTGACTAAATTCCTTCTGGTGTAATTTATTCTCTGGCAGCTGAGGGCAGAACTTCAACATTTCCATAGAAAGAAGCCCCACAGAAACTGGGAATTGGTGATCGTAGCATATGATTAATTTGGGGTGCTCCTGAAGAACTTGAATGTCAAAAGAGTTTATAAGACAAGAAAACAATTTTTAAGGAAGACTAGCCTGAAAATTTCTGTGATTAATGTCCCTCAGAGCATGATTACTGGGGAAAGGTTGGCTTAGAGAATCTAACATTAACTTCACCTTTAATGACAGCTCTGAAGTTCACCTTCTAATTCATTCAGTCAACCACTTCTGTGTAATGTTCCCGTTCTTAGGTATGGTTAAAGCATCACTGATCCATTTTACTGCTAATGCCGCAAGGAGGCAATGACAGCGTCAGTGCGGAGCTGGCAATGGGGAAAGGTGAAAGAGCGGTCAGAGGAGAAAGCTGTGGCCGAGGTCAGGGCCGTAAAGTTAGAAAATATAAAAGCTGGAAAGATTGACAAAGTCTATAGGATCTTCACTTAGATAAGCTGTCCATCTAAGGTGGATGCATAAGGCAGACTGAAAAAGTATGGTGCTAGACTAATCTCTGTTTATATAGGCAGTATACTAGAAAAAAAGGGACTAAAGTGAAGAGACAGCAGAAGGGACAGAAAAACAGGATCTGGCAACGCCTTCCTTGCTTCACATGGATAAACAGAAAATAAAGGCTTTGATACTTAATGCATGTTCCCTTTTCCTCACAGCCTAAAACCCCTGCAAAGAATAGCTCTGTGTGTGACTGGGGGAAGAAACTACAAGATTATTTCCACAAAAGAAACATGCATGGTTTGCAGCTAATATCTTCCACATTAAATTAGTTAATTCCAGTGTAACATTGGT